AAGTCAAATGGCCAAGTCCAGAAGAGAGTCAAGATCAAGTGAAGGCAAGAAGTTTGTATCAGAGGAAGACAGAAACCAGTGGGAAGAGATAATTTGCGAGACAGCAGCTCAGGAAAGGGGCACATCCTTGATGCGATTTTTGAAATCTCAAGCAGATCTTGCACTCGGCTGTGTGTTAGTTAGCGTTTCAGGTGTCCTGACTTCTCCCTTAGGACCAGAGGGACAACCGGCCCATCCTTCCGCTGAGCGGGAACTGAACTGAGCAGTGCGAACTTGGACAAAGTGACCAAAAGATAGAGGATACTTGTGTATCTCAGCTCCAGCTGCCTCGATTCCTGCCAGCCACAGCTGTGAGACTCATGGACCATCTCAGTTGCCAGGTTTGTTTGCTGAAATCCACTGGCTTTGAAACACGTACAAACCACCCCTGGAGACTCGGCTGGGGCCTCCCTGCTGCTTTTGTTTGAGATTTAAAACCACAGTGGAAATTGGTTTTCAGATACGTTAACACTGGAAATGGCTGAGCCAAGTTAAAGCTAAGGATCTTTGAAAAACATTTCTTGAGCACCAAGGGAAGTCGGTAACGTGGTATCAGCATCGGGATGGCTTTCTGGAAAATAAAACCTTGCTCAGCAAAGCCAGACGTGTCCCTGCTGTAGCGATCGATCGCCAGGCGAACGTCTCTCTTCTGTATGACCCAGAAGGGCAGCACAGACCCTTTATGCTTCCTCCAGCTTTAGCACCTGTGCAGGTGCTCCAGCACATCCCTTCATCTGCCATATCCCAGTGAGCTCTACAGCTGTGCAGACCGGAGAACTGCCAACCTCTTTCCATCCCTCGCCCTGGCCTGTCACCACGTGGTGTGTGAGCTTGTACATGCCCTGCCAAGTTCCCCAGCTCCTACCTGCTCTGCATGGAGTTCTGCCAGAACCAGGCCTTTACCTCAGGCCAGTATGCGCAAAATGGGCTGAAAATCTACCTGTAATAAAGGCAGATCGTTTCAGAGTGTCAGGGGCCTCGTTTCCTACATCTGTCAAGAGGACACTTGATACTGAAGTGTCATGTTCCTTTAGACATAAGCAAAATAAAGATTAAGACTAAACATGTCCTTGGTATTAAGGAGAAAGTCTTCAAGAAGTGGTGTAGCTGCAGGGATTTGTTATGAAAAGGGTTTTTCCAGAAGCTGTCACTGTTCGTGGAGGATATGTCTCTGTGCGTCTCCTCTAGTGTCGAGGCAGAGGGCAACAGAGGGCCAAGAGAAGTTGTAGGAGAAGCTTGTCTCTATGTCTACAACTTCAGATGGGCATCAGCTTCCTCAAGCTAATATGAATCTCTTCCAGAAGCAGAAGATGATCTACACACTCCCAGATGGAGGTCAGTTTATTGGTAATTAGGTAATTAGACAGATCCTTGTGTGTGCGTGTCTCCCACTAATGGCACAGAAGCATCAACACCTCCCCCGTCCCCTCTATGGCTGAGCAGGATATCCCAACTATATTGGAGCAGATGCAAACATCTCTAGCCCAGGGAAAAATCAGTGGATCCAGGCAGGAACGCAGTGAAGCACACATGTAAGAACTTCTGGGTGTCATGCCAGGAGAGACCAAATGAAGATGCAATAGCTGAAGATGAAGTTGTCTTTAAAACCATCTAAACTGAGTATTGGACAGCGTAACACTATCACATCAGGTGTATTAAAACCACATGCAACATGTGTAAGCAGTAAACACACGGTATCTGCAGCACACCCAAAGCCAACACGCCTCGTCCCTGCAATGCAAGTGCCTCCACACCTTCCCCAGGCGATTTCCATGCCACTCTACAAATCCTGGACAGGAGTTTGTCACCGTGCCACCTTGGCATTTGCCCTTGGGTGAATACCTTCAGGATTTTTCCTGGACAAGGTTTTTGCTATCTTTGTCCAGCAGCCTTAAAAACCTCTGTCCGTTGTATATATCTGTGGTGGGCTGTACCTGTGGTGGCTTTTGTGGCATGTCTTGCAGAGGACGGGTTGACTGGCTACTCCAGCTTGCAGTCCTCAGTGGAAAAGGAGGAGGTTGCAGTTATCTCTAGCTTTGCATCTCTAAGCTGTAAACCTCACCTTGGCAGAAATCTAAGGAGGATCCCACTAATATTTGTACGTTTCCTCCATGGGAAGGTAAGGTAAAAATCTCAAAGGAAAAACGAGAAGCAAACAATTATTTGTACTTCTGTCAGAGGACTTCCATCCTTAAATGACCTCAGCAAGTACGGGAACACCGGGCTATACGTTAGGTAACGGCGAGGCGTTTGGCAGGGGAGGCAGTGCTATCTGGAGCCCGTGCGGGTCTCAAAGTCTGCTTGAGTTTAGACATAAAGATATACAAAAAAGCATATTAAAATAGTAGATGGGAATATAGCACTCCGCAGGAAAAAAAAACAAAAGGGAGTGATTATGAGCAGGAATCTTGGCTCTATTGACTCTTTTTTTTGAAAATAAACCAGAAAACGGCATCATGTTCCCAGGGACATGCTGGCAAACAGCTGGGATGGAGTCTGAGAGAATCTATATTTTATACTCTATAACTTAAAATGGCTTTTGCATGATTTTAGTGTTTTTATTGGTTCTTAAAACATGCACAATATAAACACGTGAACCAGCCAGAAGCACGCCCCATGGATGGCTGGGCACCGAGGGCGGCTGTCCAGCCATGCCAGCCTGCAGCTGGGAGAGAGCTGGGACATTGGGGACCACCTCTCACCCGTCTTATGGTCCCAATCCTGCAAAGAGCGGGTATGGGGGGCTGTGGCCAGGGATGGCCTTATTTGGGGCAGGACTACAGCCTTATTCTGCACATTTATGGTGCTGCACCGCAGTATTAAGCCAATGTTTCCACTTTTTAGTCGAGTCAATACTCAAATCCCAACCTCGACCCAAAAATAACATAAATCCAGCCCCTTTGCTGCTTCCATCCTCTCACACCCTTCTCCCTGCCCTCCTTTTAGCCAGCCACGACGTCACCAAAGGGAAAAACAACATGCTTCAACGTGGAGCATCCACCCAGCGCTCAGAGGTACCTGCCTGCCCTGCTGCCTCCCAGCTGTCCCGGGCAGGGATTTCAGAGCTGCCACCAAACTTGGTCAAACTTGGGATACTTGTTCCTTCTGACACGCTGGGGCTGCCTCCCGGAGACGTGTGGGGTGGGAGCCGGTGTGTTCTCCGGCTGCACGAGGAGTAAGACCTGTGCTGCAGGGCAGCACGGCCGCTCCGGCCAGGCTGGCTGCATCCGACTCAGCCGGGCTATGGCTACGCAGAAAGAGCCTCGCGAGCCCACGCTTCTGACAACTTTGATGCACAACAATAATTACAAAGAATAAATCATGTCATCAAGTTGATAAACGCCACATTTCAAGCAGAAGAGCCTGACTTGGCTTGCAGAGGAGCCCAATGGGGCACTGGGCAGAGCTATCCTCCATCTGGCACCACCAAGCGAGCCCCAGGCCAGACCCTGCCCGACTACTCTGGTCCTGCAGCTCTTGTCTCAGAGCCAGAATCACATTTTTTTTTTCTATGGCACTGAGATCAGACCTCTAAGAGAACCAGACATGCCTAGCATATTCATTGAGGATTCAGGAATAATTTCCTGCTAATTTCTTCTATTTGTTTTCTATATTTAAGGGGGAAACCTTAGAAAGGAAAATGAGAAGCAAACAAGGAATCATCAAACAGAAGTGAGAGAAGGCGAAAGCTGGCCATTTCCAAACGTCAGGCCAAGGGCAGCTGTGGCAGCCAGTGGAAACTCGGCTCCTTGCAGTCCTCTCTGCATCCCTCTCTAACACCCTGCGAGGTGGTCCATTTTACAGATGCAGTAGAGAGGCACAGTGTCCCAAAGCCTACGGCAGACCAGAGGAGTGATCTGCACCTCAAGCGTATATCCTGATTGAAAGACCAAACTGTCTCCTGCGTGTGGTTTTTCGCAAAAATAACATACTTTAGGACAACATTTACAACAAGTCACGTCTCAGATGACCTCCTGCCCTAAGCAGTGTCCTGGTTCAATGTCTGCACCTCTCTCTTCATCTGTCCCCAGGTGTTTTGCTGCAACATAGCATGCCCTGTTACAGTAGTATTAATGCCTACAGTAATTATCATAGAATCATAAAGTGGTTTGGGTTGGAAGGGACTTTAAAGATCACCTAGTTCCAACCCCCCTGCCATGGGGAGGGACACCTTCCACTGCACCAGGTTGCTCAAAGCCTCATCCAACCTGGCCTTGAACACTCCCAGGGATGAGGCAGCCACAGCTTCTCTGGGCAACTTGTTCCAGTGCCTCACCACCCTCAGAGTGAAAAGTTTCTTCCTCATTTAAAGCCATTGCCCTTGTCCTATCATTACACACCCTCGTAAAAAGTCCCTTGCCAGCTTTCTGGTTACTGCCTTTGTCAAAGAAAGTAAAAGAAAAAATAATAAAAATAGTAAAAGCCTATTTATTTCTTACTAGGGTTTAAATGCAATCCAGCCTCCCAGGCACAAGACTGCAAACTTTCTTTTGTCCTCGTGTTGCAAAAGGATCTCTTCTCTTCAGACGAGCTGCTTTGCCTTCTGCAGCCCAGAGCTCGGTGTGTGCCAGCTGTGCCCCGGTGCCTGCGCTGGGGAGCACGCACCGCACCTCTGGGCTCACGCCGCAGCCGTCGCGAGGCTTAAAGTCTCCTTGCACGCAGGGATTTAGACCAGAGCACACAGCATTCTGCTGATCTTTTTGAGGCTAGATGCAACTGCTAATTTGGAAACCAGAGTGCAGGAGCTGTGTTGGGCCACTACCCATACTCCGGTGATCCGGGACACACGCACGGCTGCCCGCGCAGCTCGGGAAGGAGAGCACTAGTTCCTACAGAAAACCCATGGACCAGCTCTGGGGGTGAGCGGGCTGGTTTTGCAGACTCACTCGGACACCTGTGATGCCGGGATATCCAGGAGGCCCTTCTTTTCCCTTCAGTCCTTCATCGCCTTTTTCTCCTTTCTCTCCTTCCAGGCCTCGCTCTCCTTTGTCTCCCTGTGGAAGAGAGAAGGGTGGGAGCTTTACATACCCACACAACGCACGGGTCACGGTGCATGGCTCTTGCAAGGAAAAAACCCACCACATAATTAATATTTCAGGAGTCTGAGAGGAAGACAGCCTGCAAGCAAAAGGATGAATGAGGATGAGTCATAATATGCTTGACATTTAACAAAATGAGCAAAACCAGGTTCCTTTTTTTTAAAGTCTCTTGGCTGGAGGAGAAGGGACTCCCCCATTACACAGGGTAATCCGAATCCCTTTGCTTCTCCTGCAATAAGGCCTGAACCTCCCATGTGAATGAGACAGGCAGACAAGATCTGAAAGTCTCCCTTGCCTCACCCAGAAACCCTGAGCTCGGGATGCTGAAAGATTTTTAATAGGACTGGTTTGTCTGGAGCGGCAGCTTGGCTCTTGCTGCCAAATGGGAACCAGCCCAGGGCTCAAATAAACACTGTGTGTGTCATCTTGCCCCGTGAAGGATTTGTGGTCCGAGCAGCAGGTATCATGTCAAATCACCGTTCTTATAATCGACGGCAGAAAATTTTATGGAGACAATCAAAAAGGCCAATTCTGTACTGACAGCAGCACCTACACTTGTGCAGTCAACCAGCCTTGACAGAGTCGTCTTCCACTTGTACCCGTGTTAGCGAGAGCACAGAAACATCTCCTGGTTAAACTAATGCTCCAGCGGTGAGCGGTGCCTCTTCTACTGTCCAGAGACATGTTCAGGTTGAAAAGATCTGGCTTGGTTCAAGAGCTCTTGGGGACAAGTAGCAGTGGCAAGAGAATACAGGAGCCTTGGTTGTCTTTAGGGAAGAGTCTTTTGGTTCAAAAGTCAGAGATAAGCAGAAGTAGAGACACATGGCAAATAGTTTAGCTAGAACGAAGCAATAAACTGCATTGTTGTAGGACCGGCTACTTTTTCTTTCCATGGAACAAAACTGTTGGCCTGTTTGGAAAGGCCAGCTGTGCAGGGACAGAATCAGAGCCCTGTTCCAAAGGCAAGGTAGCAAACTCACAGCAGCTAGATGTAGAGCACAGTGCAAGCCCTGAGCAAGCACCTGGGGCTTTGCCAAGAGGAGAGGGGTCTGGTTTCTTTACTTGCGAACAATGTTCTGGTCAGCGGTACAGGGGATAGTGATGGACAATTCTCAATTTCCCCTGCCAGGCCCAGGAATTCCTAATTAGTTGGAAATTTAATCTGTAAAGACTCAGATAAAACAGACAAATTGTTGGAAGCTTGATTTTGAAGAACTTGACCTTTTTGGAGATCTGATCAGATGCCAAAAACGTGGGTAGAGGAGTGAAACAGGAGGAGTCGTTATGTGTGCTGGCAGGAAAAAAATCCTTAGAGGGAGTAGGGCAGAAGCTTATTGCACAGAGGACCCAATAACCCTCTTGGCTTCAACCTGGCCCCAGGAACCACGGGGCCCTGAGTGCAGGGAGATGCGCGTGAAAGCTGCAACATGCCATGAGAGCGAGGTTTACCTTGACACCGTCCGGCCCGGGTGGCCCGCTGTCCCCTTCCAGCCCCGATTCTCCCTGCAAGACAGGAGCAGCATCATAAGACTGTGCCTAAACATGCTTTTTTCCCATGCCTTCTGCAGCTGACTCATGGCAGCGAGTCGGGCTGCAGCGACAGGAGCCTGGTCCTGCACTTTGACACGTGTCCTATCTCACACCCTGACGCTGAACAAGCTCTTCCTGGTACAAGAGCTGGAATTCAGCCTCTTGCTTTATTCTGAGCCATAGTTTCTCCTCCACGGACCCCGCTGCCAGCCTGCGGGAAAACCTTCCCTGTGTTGAAAAGGGGGCTCAGTCTGTATTCATTCAACCTGGGGCTTCCCCATCCTGCTCCAACAACCGACCTTAGTCCTGAGAAGGGACACGAGCCACTGCCGGCTTCAATCCATGCATTCATCCCATCCCTGGCTCCCTCCCACGCGTGCACAGTGTGGCCAGTGTTTCCCCGCGTAACGCCCTCCTCCTGCTCCAGCGTCTCCCTGTGCCCCGCGCACGCTGCACCGTCCCGGCGAACAGGACGGGTCTGTTCCCACACTGTCCCTTTCACACGCCAGGTTAGCACCACGCTTCGCAAAGCGGCACTGTAGCATGGCAGAAGCTCACGCAGACTGGTGAGCTCAAGCTGGCAGGCTCTGGGAGGAAGGTGTTTCCACCACTTGTAGAAGAAATAAGGGCCATAAGGGTTATGGGATGCCCAGAGCAGGATGTGTCTGCCCAGGCTGTGGGTGAAAAGGGAACAGAGCCTCTGGGGAACTGATATGGCACAGAAGCCCTACCAGAAGGTGACCGTACTCACTCTTTGGCCAATGAGGCCTTGTTCTCCAGGGACTCCCAAATGGCCTGGATCACCCTAAAAAGAAGGAACCACAGACATGGAGACAAGCTGTTTACTGAGTGAGCATGAAGCACTTCCCACTGTACTCTTCATTCTGACTTTTTCTTTCCTTCTCCCGCACAAACATCTTCATTTCATTTTGCAAGGGGGTCTGAAGGACAGGTTGGCATCACCAGCACCTCTGCTCGTGTCGCAGGCTCTGTTGCAACGATGCTCAACAGGGCAGGAGTCGAGGAGTGGTTTGTGCTGCCTGCAGCTGCAGAGCCAGAAGATACTCCCTCAGCATGGCCCTTCGCCAGGAAAGCAGCAACCCTGGGTGCAATGCAACGCTGCTCCTGCAACAGGAGCAAGGGAGAGGAAAGCCAACAGCTCTTTGAGCCTCAGCATGACTGAGGAGGGTGGAGAACCACCTGAATTTTTGATGGCTCCAAAATGAGTGAACTGAAGATGTTGGAGCTGGCAAACAAATGGGTCTTGGCGACAGGCTGTGAGGTTGCAGTTTAACACTGGGGGTACTACAGCCATTCGGGCAGCTGTCTCCCATGTGTGCCCATCCAAGGCAACTGCTTTGCCAGGGAGAGAGCTCAGGAAATGCAGAGGCAGAAGAGGAAAAAGGTTTGACCCATCCACACATCCCATCCTGCAGCAAACTGGTCTGCAAGCGATGACTGCCCAGAGCAACCCCAGCCTGTCCCAGCACCTCCCAGCTCAGGAGAAGGAGCAGCATGGGACTTTTGCTCCCTGACTGTCCAGCAAGGACGTGTTGCACGGATGGAGGTAAAGGGCTGTTTGTGTAAATCATTGCTTTCTGCTCCCGAGGAGGGCAGCCAGGAGCACGGGAGCTGAAATGCTCGTGCAGTATCAGGATGCCAAAGACACGGTAGCTCCAGTGAAGTGTCAGAAGATTTGCCAAGGAAAACATGGCAAAAGATGGGGCTGGGGGTGGGGAGTGAAGAACGGCAAAGAGGAAATTGCATTTAATCCCCACATAGAGTCTGTTCAAAAGCTCTTCACACAGGACCGAACCTTCAAACCAAGCAGAAAGGGGGTTAAGATAAAAATAAAAAACCCTCTGAGTTGCTCAGCACAGGGATTTTATTCAAACAAAGAGATGGTTTTTATAGGCCTTTCCATGTGAACAAGAAGGTTCATTCATGGCTCTGGAGCAGGACACCCTTCCCCAAAACCATTAAAGGAGCTCAGTCCCCACAGAGCTGAGGCTTGGAAACTGTGGCAGGACCTTGTCTGAGGGTATTTTTAAGTTTGGGACCTTCCTATGACTCTTCTTGTTTCAAATTAGAAGCTGTCTGGACCTCTGGGTCTCAAGGACTCCCCTCTCCACTCAGACTTTGGATCTGCGAAAGAGTTGAGCTTCATTTCCCTTCACAGCTCAAGGCACAAAACCCCTGGGATGGAGCTTCTCCCCAGCACTGACAGCCTCCCCCTTGGGATGGGGCTCAGGAATTTGTAACCAAGGGCTTAAAGTTAACCTGATTTTATTTTTTAAGCTTTATCTTTTGTTGAATATGCTGTCTGCTTTGGCTGCTGGAGGGTGAACCTGCACCATTACCCACTCCTGCAGGAACAGAAGTTGCTATTGTCCCCCTGGTCTGACAGAGAATTTGCACTAAGGGTTTTTCTTACCTTCATGCCAGGTTCACCTGCAAGGCCAGGTTGTCCCATTGAGCCAGGCGGTCCCTGGGAAAAAAAAAAAAAGATAATGAAAAAACCCATTGTAACCAAGTAGAAAGCAATATCAAAGACATAATTCCTTTAGCAGAGCCCTCCCGGGACAGCAGAGCCCTGGTTGCAATGTAATTACCTCCCCGGAGCTGGCTCAGGGCACGCAGCATCAAAGAGGCCCAGTGCCCCCCGTGCCTGGTTCCTGGGAGGGCTCTGCTCGTTGCTCCCACCTCCCCTCTCCCCAGCCCCAGCCCCAGCCTCCTCTGCCAAGCACCTCTCTTCAACTCCTTCCAACCCCTCTGCTTTCTAAGGTTAGTAACCACGTCTGGAACTAGTTGGGAAAGAAGGGAAAGGGTCCAGAACGAGACTTGAAAGCCCTTCACAAGGGTCCGGCAGGTTGGCTGGTAACAAAAACGCTCAGCTGTGCTCTTGCACCCTGCACCTCGCTTCTCCGGTACCACCGGTGCCAGCACAGGCTCCGTGCCAGCGGTCTCGTTTCGGTTAGGGTTAAGCGTTAACGCAGGCTCAGGGTTTGCAGGCACACGGAATTGCTCTGCCTTAGCAGGAGCAGCTGCCCCAGATGACACAGCCTTGAGCTGAGCCATCAGCCCCACGCTCCCAGAGAGGGAAGGGCGCAACGGTGCTGCCAGCGCCAGGGCAGCTGAAGGGGGCCAAGAACAGCAAGGGCACACCAAACCCTCCAGCGCAAACTTTGGTCAGATTAGCCTTGACATCCATCAACCACTTTCTCTGGCTGCAATGGGCCAGCAAACATCCTAATGCCAATGACTGGGCTCAGACCAGGAATCCACAGCCCAGGGCTGCTACCAGGTTCTACCAGCTGAAAGAAAGTGGCTGCCAGATGAGATAACGTGGCCCTATCTATCTGAGCATAGACCCTGGTAGAGGGGCTCAGCACCCCTCAGAGAGCCAAAAACGAGTGCCTGACCTTGAAAACTATGGGAACTAAGACAGAAAGAGGGAAGATGAGAGAATGACCCTGCAAACCGTTTCCTGGTATCCAGCTGCCACATGCAGCCTTGCGACAGAGAGGTCACGTTCATTAAATGTCTTTAGCACCGAGATCAATTGGGAGCTTTAACCATCGTATATTTGCTAGTACCTCGGGGAAGCACAGGGAACGAGAATCTGTAAATTAAGCCCAAAGATGGGACAGCAAAGCTTGTCTTTAAAGGATTTGAGTGGTTTATTTACTTATGGTATTTGTTTTCCGGACAACAATCTTCCCTTCTCTTTGCAGTTAGGAATAAAGGAAAAAAAAGCACATAGTCAAGGCAGCGCTCGGCGGCCCACGGAATAAAGCCAGTTCCTGGCTTACTGAAATGGATTAGAGCAGAGGAGGGAGCAGGGTGTGTGTTGGGTTTACGAACAAATGGTCAAGTCACGCAATAAGAAAATTCAAGCTCCAATGAAAGCAAAAAATCCTACTTTGGTTTCTCCAGAGATGCCAGTGCAGAGAAAGGCTCCTGGAAGAGTCACAGATTTGAATAAAGTTCTGTACGTTCCTGGTTGGCAATGTCCAGAGTGGCTCGGCAGCAGCTTTCCAGCTCCCCAGTGTGGTTTACCACGCTGAGAGCTCACTCCATCCAGTCTAGCAGCCATGAGAATGGAAACTTTCATGAGTCATACGCTTTGCAGTAGACTGCATTAAGAGCCACCTTCGCTGCTGTTTTCACAACCAAGTGAAACATCATGACTACGTTACAGCTCGGGACCTATGGAAAGGAGCTACCCAAGGGGAACTGGCACATCTGGTATAAACAGCAGACACTGTGATACTTCAAGGGGAGCGAAATCAAGCCAAGACTGCAGACGAGTTAGGGGGAGACCATGGAGGCATCTCCTATGCTCTATCGGGGCACTGTTTGGCAGCTGCTGCTGCTTTGGTTATGGTGTGTTTGTGCCATTGCTTCATGGCAACGGCAACCCAAAAAGCACAGTCAGCAGCAAAGGCATTTCTCTGAGCTTCCTCCACTGCTGCAGCATCTTGTGCTGGGACTGCCACAGCAATCCGGGCTGGCTGACAAAACTGTCTTGTCAGCAATGGCACCAGCAAGGGGGAGAGAAATGACCAGTTTTCAGTTTGACTCGTTACGGTATTTGGTCCCTGACTCTGCACCCTGCTGCAGAAGGATGGCTCCTCGTGCGGTGGCAGATCCATGCCTGGGTCATGCTTGTGAGAGTGGTCAGTTTCAAAACGTCTCTCTTGTTGTGAAGACGGATCTGCACATCTATCAACCGTGTGTCTATGGGCTGTGATGAAAATGATGCTTGAATTTCTGATTTTCACTGCTTGCTTTGGAAGTTGACTTTTGAACTCGAGGGAAATCCTTCCTGCTTATGTCCCCAGGTGTAGAAGGATGCACCTCTGCACCTTTACTCTCCTCTCACTCCTGCCACTCTTGATGGAAGGGGAAAACAAATAGGAACAAAGATCAGACCTACCTTATGCCCAATCTCTCCCAAAGGCCCAGGTGGCCCCTGTGGTCCTTGTGGACCCTGAAAAACAGAGACACAAACCTCTTTTCATACAATTGTTTTCATTTCTGAAGGGTCATCTCTTCCATGGCCTGTAAGATAAAACACCAGTTCCCTCCCACATCACAGTGGAGCTCCACAGGATGCAAGAGGTGGCCAGAGAGATGTAGGGGCCAGCAATGGCTGTGCTCAGGCACCTTAGCATGTAAACGAGAGCTCAGAAGGCCCTTCATCTTTCTGGCTCCCACCTAAAACAACTGCAGTTGGTAACCTGAGAATGCTGGGTTTACCCTCTCCCTTCACAGTCCCAGTCAGTCCCCACAGACATAGAGAGCAGGAGATGACTCCTCTTCCCGCTTCAGTGGTCCTGTTGGCCTTCCTTGAGGTCTGTGCCTTTCCCAAAGCTGTGGACTCAGTTCTGACACCACCAGCCTCCCTCCTGGTCCCCCTTTTGCTGTACCTGCAAGCGCAGCCCAACTATTCCTGTTACATCTGACCCTGTCCCAGACTCAATCTTGCCCTTTTTTCCTCTCTTCCTTTCCAAAATCCAGCCCAGGCTGTATCCTACACTGTCTGGTTGATCCATTGCCCCCTTCTGCTCGCCAGGGGTCTGAGCTTGTCTTTCCTCATGCTTCCTAGAACTAGTCAAGTGCTTCACATCTCTGACCACGCTGGAGTTGGCAAGAACAGAGAAGCTGGGAATAGGAATGAGTGGTGGGAAAGAGACAGAGAAAGAAAGGAAGTGTCTGTGCGTGTGCAAGGAAAGACAGATGAAGAGAGAGTGATAAGACACTTGCCGGGTCGCCCGGAGCCCCTTTTGCTCCTGGAGGTCCAGAAGGTCCTTGGATACCCTAGAAGAATTAAAAACACCAAGGTCAGCTCCAACTCCATAGCAATCTTTTGTGCCTCTCGGCAGTAACGTGCATCTCAAACACTCCAGCAAAAGGAGTGGAGAGTTGGCCCTGTAAGCGTGAGACACTGTCCAAGTTCTTCCTCCTGGACCAGGACTCAAAACTTACGGACTTAAGTGAAACGAGGTTATGAAAGGAAGCACAAGGGATGGACACTTACTGGGAAGCCACGTGCTCCTGTCTCCCCAGTCTCACCCATCTTTCCCTGTGAACACACAGTTACAGCCGTTAGCAGCTGGGAATGTGCTGAGACACCCACGGCACTGTGGCCAAGAGAAGCTGCAGTTCCCTGGGCATTGTGTACACACGGGTAGCCCCACGGCGGGCGGACACGATGCCAGGTTTGGCAGGCACTAGCTGGTGCAGAGGACATACCTGCAGCCCATCTGGCCCCAGCTTGCCTGGCTCCCCTGGTCGGCCCTGCAAAGCAAAAAGACGAAGACACGTTGGCAGGAGCACAAACTGTTGGCGATGCTCTCCTGCCCCAGCCCACCTGCTCTTACGTTTTTGTGCACGAAATATTCCCTCCAGTTCCCTGCAGATTTTGAAAGGCCAAGTACCCAGCATCCTGCCCTGAGGAGCACCCCAACAAGCAGGGAGTGTGGGCCATGGGCAGCATAACCCAAGGATTTCTGAGCAAATGCTGCTTTGGAGGAAGCCGGGATTGTCAGCCTGGCAGGGCACAAAATAAGGGAGATTCCCCATCCAATCCACATTCACAGAGCCATGTGTGCCAGGCAGGAGACCGAGTCTGTGATGTTCAACGGCAGCACAAGGGTCATGCTCTGCCACACTACTCTCCCATCAGGCTGCTGCCAAAGGGAGAAACTCTCCCATGCCCGCTCTCTAAGCCTGTTGTGGAGCTGGCTCACCTTGGATGAGGGTCTGCTCAGGCAGGGTATCTACCAGGCTCTCTTTGCACCAGGTGTCCCTTGCCCTGCATTTTTTCTTGTCCTGATCTAATTAACATGAAGTACATCGGAACTGATACGTGTTCCCTTCGGTCATATTTTACCAGTTGTGTTAAATTGCTCTGATTTTTCTGCTACATTCAGATTCAAACGCACTCACTGCCAGGTAAAGCGACTCCCCTTCCTGTGAGGGACCTTATTATTTTAGCAGAGGCCCTTTCATGTCTGTTGACTACCTCTGTATTCAGGGTCTCAGACCCCAGCCGCAGCAGCCCTGGGTGCCCACATCAGACAGATTTTTACCCCAGCTGCATGAAAGACTCATCCCTGGTGGTTGATCCTCACAGAATGATTGAACATCCCCTGTTCCTGGAGAAGGACGTGGCGTTAAGTGTTTCACAACACAGCTAAGAGTGGCTTCAGCCAACCTGGCCACCCACCGACACTCACCTTGACACCTCGTGACCCTGGCTCGCCGACTGGTCCATCAGGCCCTCTGGCACCCTAGGAAGAGGCAAAAGAGAAGCAAAAATAAGAACACAGAGTATACGTCTCACTAGAAAATACAGCAGTCACCTTAGCTTTGGCCACCAGGAAAATCCATGAGATCAGTCTTGGCTAAGTCAACCTTACCTGGTTGGGTTGAGCACAGCAGCTCGGAGCCCAGGACTCAACAGACCCCGTCTGTATTTTGCTGTTTAATTTCTCATCATTTACCAGCACAAATATTTTTATTCCTTTTAAACCAACTACCAACTGCAAATCAAAGCCAGAGGAGAAAGGCAGGCCAGGAACTGCCTTATTTTCAGACAACAGTTACATGACAAGGGTTTTGCAATGCACAGACATGCAGTTCTAGCCTTATGGATAACAAACCTCTTTCTTCCTAGAAACTCTGCTTTTCCAGCTGCCCCTGCCCTTAACCCTGGCCATGATACACCATCTGATGGTCACAATCAGGGCAACAAAGCTACAAAATACATAGAGGCACAAAAGCCCTCACCATACAGTACTTTCACAACCATCCTGGGCCCCAAATTGCTCCCAAAGAGGAGGGTATATTTGCTGGCAGCTGAACCCCGAGCCTTCAGTTACGGTTACCTGCTATTTAAAGAACTGGCTGCTGTTGAGGACCAGGCAGGTGCTCATGCATATGCATGCCGGGAGGAGTGCAGCCAGCCGTGCCTGCTTTGGCATGTCTGGTCCTACGCCCGGCATCTGCTCCGGGGTGTGCGCGTGCGTGCGGCAGGCACGAGGACCTCAGGAGGTGTACAGGACACGCATACTGCTGCAAATGCTCACGCACGTACAGGAGTCCAGACAGGGAGTGATCCTGGACGTGATGAACTAAAATTGAACAGCTCATGATAGAGCTTGGACATCCTCAAGGAAGAGGTGTCCTTGTTCTTCCAGAAGGTGCTAGGTGAGGACAGCACTGGTCTTGAAGAAGGGACAACTATGATCCGGCTTTCAAGCTAACCTCAGAAGAGCTGAACATGCAGCCCTCTCCATTATTTGAACCCCAGACACCGGTGCATCACACTAACAGAGAATAAACAGAACCACAGTCGGGGAAATAAAACTGTAAAAAAGGGCATATCAAGAGCCTCTGTTAACGCACGTCATGTTCATAAGCAGGCCGTGAGCTCAGCTGGGACTCTTAGGTGCTACTGCAATATAAATAATAAATAAAAACACAGAGCGGTGCTAGAATGTAGTGGTAAGAGGAATCCTGAGAGCAGGCCAGCGCGGAAATAGAGAAAACAGGAGCCAATGTGCTTAATCGGGATGCAAACTGAGTGCCAAAAGTAATAACAGAGCTGGGGAGCCAATGTGTTAGAAAAGCAACTCCAGTGTGGCAGGCAGAGAGAGGCTCACAAAGAACGGCAGTGTAATGGCAGAAGGTGCATAGGAAACGCAGCCAAATTATTACAGCAGACAAACATCGTCAATATAAAATAATGCAAAAACTTCTACTGCGCTTGGCAAAAGCCTGTGTCGCAGAGATTAAATAACCAAAAGCCTGCATTGCATCCCAGTAAGACACAGCTCTAAAGAACGCTCAGCCAGGTCTCCAGGACAGAGAAGGACTGTGCACCAGATGGGAACACCACAGCCGAACGGGGTTTTCACAGGGTGGCACTTCGCTAGGCTAGTGCAGCCATCACCAGCCCCAGACCCCATGCTGGCCACTAGATCAGACAGCAGTAAACACTAAAAGGTTTATTAATCCATGTCCCTGGAAACCTCAAAGCACAATGACATAAACCAGAAGTTCATTTAAAAGCTGGGCTACTGTCAGCTCAAACCGGACAGCGCTGTAAGGTGGAGTAGTGGGAGATCAGGGCTTGGAGGCGTTTGAGGAGCTGCCTGGGGTGACCAGGACACCCAGAAACCCAGCACTACACAGACCTGCCCTGGGCTGGGTACTGGGCTGCCCAGAGAGAACCGAGGTCTCAGCATGTGCATGGCACTGGCACCCTGGGAAAGCACCCTGCCACCCAACTTCTCATCCTCCCTGGAAAACAAACCATTCCTCTCCTCTTTGAGCAACCATTCAGGTATTTTGTGCAATTACATCTTTACTCTCGGAGATGATGGGATGACCTGCTTGTGAAGAAGGAGAAAGATGTGCAGAGGGGAGGGATTCGATAGCTCAGCCCTGGTGTTACAGAAGGAAGGAGCAGGGATCAGAGGCAAGCGGGACATGGAAATGGCAGTGATGACCCAGGTTAGAGGTCTCCGTTCCAGGACACATGCTGCTAGGGAAGGAAAGTGGGATGTGTCTGGCCACTTCAGATCCATCTTCTGTAGCCTGTCCTGCCCTGTCCAGCCCCTTTGCCAGTGCTGGGCTGCTGGGTGCTGGGCGGAGGGTGTTGGGTGCCCTCAGTCCTCACTCCTGCTGCAGTGGGCAGCGACGGCTGTGGTTCCCAGCGGCCTGACCTGGCAGGGCTGGCTGGGCAAGTGTTTATAGTATCCTCGTTTCTTCCAGCAGAGCCCTGTCACCAGCATCGCAGGATCTGCCAGGGCAATCTCACTTCACAGCAGTCACCTGCCTAATCCCATCACAACACATCTCGTTGCCATCTGACCTAAAGAAGGAGAAAGTGACCCTGCATTCTCAAATGCATATGGCAAAGCTTCATCTTCTCCAGCCTCCTGGGGCAAAACCCAGGATGAAGGCTTTCCCTAATCCGCCCTGACAGGAAAGGCTACATTTAGTCAATTAGTTAAATCTTTAAAACTCCCTTTTACTGACAACGCTGGTTAGAGACGAGCGAGCGAGGTCCTGGCGACTCTCCAGGGAGCATCCTGTGCCAAACACTGCACGGCACAGCACGCTGCCTTCTCCCTGCAGACCTGGCTGGGCCCAGCTTCCTGGGCTCCCCTTGGGCCCTCGGTGCTTCCAAATTAACTGAAGAGCCAGGTGTGTCTGCCCTGAGCATGGCAGGGCAGGGGGACCAGGCTGAGTGTGTAGAGAGGGGTCTTGGGGAGCGTCCTCCTAAGGGCAGACGCAACACGGACCCATCCTAAGAAGGGGGTAAGGAGACTGCAGTGAAAGGCACGGCTTTATCACCGGTGTCAGCATCTCTAGGAGCCCAGGAAACAGAGAAGGAAGCTTTTCTTTAGGCTTTGTTAGTATTTATATGGCAGCACACAGCTCAGGAGAGGTCCTGCTGGGCCAGTGCTGTACAAACAGTGCAAGCTCCAAGTAGCTTTACAATGTAAACAGGAAAAAAAGGAGGGTCAAATCAAGATCTTTCCGCTCTTATGCACATGGGCAGCCAAAGCACAGAGAGATACAGATTCATGGTTGATGGAGCATTTGAAAACCTGCTCAACTGTTTCAGCAAAGCCAGTTGGACATGAATACACGTCTCAAAGGCATTGCCATGTCCATCTCAAAGCAGCTCACCCGAGATCATGCAGGGAGTCACAGCACAGGGACGTGTCTGGACAGTCCCACTGCAGCACATGAGCCACAAAACCAAGCGTCATCACTCATTGCTACCTAAAGAGATGAGTTTCCCCTTTTGGTGTGTTGTCGGGCAGGAAAAGCCAAATTGGTACCACGCAGGAAATGAGAGCTCTGCCACCCTGCGTCCGAACGCTGATGCTCCAGCTGCAGTGGGTGACACCTGCGCTGAGGTCCTGGATCTCAGCGGGACACTCAGGGCTGGGCAGAGCCCAGCATTTTTTTTTAATTCCAGTTTCAACGTCTTACATGGGCACACTTCTCACCATAATCCCTGTGTAGGTGCCCACGGAGTTATGTAGTAGAAAGCTACTGTTAAGTCCCCACAAGTCTCACCTGCAGTCGTGTTCTGCCCCCTGTAATCACGAGTTATTTTTAACGTAGGCTCCAGCAACGATAGCAAAGCAGGTCCCGGTGCCACACGACTAGCGAGGACACAGGCGGAGACAGCACGTCCCTCAGATGTGCGATACTGAGCAGCACGATCAGCAATCCCAGACCAGAGTGTTACGGTGTTGGCTAAATATGAACATTATCGGCTCCCAAACGCAAGAGGATTCAGCTCCAGGTTTGCGTCTCAGGTTTGCTGCTAGTCCATGCGAGACAACAGAGATACACTCTGCTGCTAGAGTAGGCAACATTCCTGCCGAACGGGGCTAAAGAGTCAACAAGGTGTTTCCACAAAGCAGCGCTGCAATTTCCCCTGTTTCAACACATACTCAAAGCTCCAAGAGAAACAGTAACCAGCCTCGGAACAGCGGAAGCAGCAGCATGAACAAGAAGTTGGTAGCTCCTTTCCAGAAACCTAAAGCTTCTTCCTTACCCCTTTAACCAAGTATTGCCATTCCACTCTCATAGTCTGGCCAAACGAAAAGTGAGCAGATGCTGTGACTGGAGCTGAAGGGAGACATCGCTGCCATAGATCTGTAGGTAACTTTTCCTCAAACACTTCTGATGCCTTTTCAGCCAACAAGAAAGATCCCTGGGAGCAAAACAATATCCTCTGTTTTTTTTTTTTCCATTAATATCTTCTCCGTTGGGCCTGGAAAAAGCAACTAGTTTTGGGTTTGCTTAGATAACACCCCCTTATAAATCCCTGGCATTTACAAATTCCTGCAGCCAGGGATGCTGCGAAGCGTTGGGTCGGCGCGGCAGAGAAGCAGCAGTCCCACTCCGCGCAGCGCGGCAGCACCGGCCGTGCACCTCGTACCTCACCTTCGCAGGCTTCTCCTGGGCAATAGCTAACGCAGGAGCTTGAGGAATGAACGGCACGGTGGAAAACAGAAACGCGCTTCGAGATTTGAAAAGCTCCTCTGAGGTGCCTGAGCCAGTACTCAGCATCCCCTCCAGTGAGAGGATAAAATTCCAGAAATATTGTCAAGCTCCTTAGCCAGAAGAAGGGGGCCCAGTAAGTAGGAATTCAAGTGCAGCTTTATGATCTGAGTTGCAAAGTCAGGGCTCTAGTTGATATTTAACCTTTTGCAGAGATGATCTTTAAGGTCCCTTCCAACCCAAACTGTTTTATGATTCTATGATTCCTGGTCGATACCTGGGCCTTTTGATACCACTATCCTCAACAGAGGATGCTGGAGACCACACGTTTTCCTGCTGTGAGAAGCTGATTAAGGGAAACGTGCGTTTGAATTTAAGTGAGACAGACTGAGGGACTTGCTGAATCAGCCACCTCCAAACTTAAACCTTGATTTGGTTAAATAATTAGGTTTAAAGACATGCACAGCTGTCACTAGCTGAACCTTAAGCACATGTCTAAATGCCACAACACTGAGTACAGATGAAGGGAAATGAGCCTGGGCTCACATGTCCAAGTTTCTTGTCCTTGGGAAAGAGAAGAGGGGAAACCGCGTTTGTGGAAGATTGTTCAGTATCAGTTTGATGGGCTAAACAAAGACTTGGGAAGGAACAATAGTCCTGTCATGACTAAAAAGAAGGTTACAATTTTTAAAGAATTTTCTTTTTAAAACTTGTACTTATATCTTGACAATACAAAAGCTATCACAACATAAATACAGACCCCAGAAAAAGTCTCCATTGTTCTTTACAATCAAAACCATATTTGCTATTTACATTTCCTTCAAAAGCAAAATTACTTTAATGAAGTATCCACAAACAGAGCTCATGGAATCCACAAACATCTGGTGGAGACTGCCTTCATGTTTCCACTCTGAATTGAATTACGTCCCTTTTGTAAGCTAGGATAGACAGAGGGTAATGTCTGAAATTACAACTGGGGGATCATTTCCCCATCCTGAGAAAACCAAGAGTTGGAATAGCAGGACAAACTAAGCAAACAAAGAATACTATGTGCCTGGAATATCTTCTGAGAGTATGAAGAGAAGGAAAACGTGAGAGAGAAAGAGATACAAACCAGAAATCCTCCAGGCAGGAGATGTGCTGGTCCTTACAATACTGACTTTCCCACATCATATTCACTGGAATCTGTAGGATTTCAGAGCAAAGCCCAAGTTCCTTTTCTGCCAGGGATCTTAGGAAGGATGTCTGTCTGTCTTGCAAATTCTGTACGGATTATATCACTGTGGTGCTCAAACGCACCAAATCTCCACCACGCCACAGTCCAGCAGTGGGTGTTGAGGGCAGGATGAGTGCAGGGCACCAGCAGCAGATCCAGATGCTCAGCACCCGCTGGCTGAGGCTTACCCCTCTCTGATACCGGTGTCCTTCGGGCAAGATCAAGACCTTAACGCACCCTCTTTCCCGGGCACTGCCCTCCTGTTCTACCTCCGTGTTCTGCACTTCCCAGGGTGACTTTTTGCAGGGCTCTGCAGCCAGTTGGGATAGAGCCACTGCTGCATTTCTGGTTTTCAGGGCTGGGATGTGCTTTGAAGTCTGGGATTCCTCAGCGGAGATTCCTCTGCCAGGGGAAGTGACTGGCACAGGATCTGCCGAACTCAGCATGTGAGGAGGAAACACAACCCAAGGCTGTGAAGCTGAATGTCTCTACCATGCGGTACATCATTTTGAGGATGGACAGCACTGGTGGCAGTTGATGTCCTGCAGGATTTCTCACCCTCTCTGGATCTAGCTACACCCAATGGCAGGTCCCTGCTGTGCTCAGCCAACCTCCTTTCCTAGAAGCTGAATTCAGCTTTGCTCTTGGTTTTACCTCGTGTGATAGAAAATATCCCCTTTGCCATTCCTGACAGTACAAGTGGAGCTGAAAACCGCCTGGTCAGCAGTACGTTCCTTGTGGGTTGAGGACTTTAGGCCAACGCAGATGTAAGAAGTTGAAGAAAAATTATGCGAATGAGTCTTGCACAACCCAAGAGCCAAACATCGCGGTTGCACATGGCTGCTGCTGTAAGGAGACCCCCAGTGCCAGGGCATGTGGCTGGCATCCCCGGCTGGCAGCTGGGAGGAGGCAGTGCTGGGACTCCCCACTGGCCACTGCATACATTAAAGGCATTGGCAGAAATGTCTGATCCTCTCGGAGGACCCACCTCTCCAAGAGTCTACACAGTCGGCAGCCTGGATTCGTTCAGAAGGTGTTCCCCGTTCAGTTATGCTGTGGTTTTACCCTGAGATATTTTCCACCATCCGTTCAAAGCCTCCTGTGAAAGAACACCTCCAGTTCCCCATCTGTCATGATCACGGATGTCCTGGATAGCTCAGTTAATTGCTGCTATGTAGCAAAGGGAAACCTCGTTCCCCAAGGGACTCTCTGAGAACAAATCTGGGGAATGAGATCCACGGGCCTTCCCACCAAGGACAACAGAGGCAAGGGAGCTGTTTTTACCAGCCACAAGTTAAAAGCTGAACCCTGATATGCCTCTGCTGGGCTTGGATGTTACTGGTGTTCTTCTAGCTGTGCTGTTAAAGCTTCAAGCAGTTCCAGGGTACATAACTCTGTGGTTACAAAGCTTTCTAGTTGGTTATTCCACTTCCTTTTGCTGGTCCCAGCTATTCAAAGAGAGTATTGGCGCGGTATAGGGAAACATATGCAATCCTTGGCTGTCCCGAATTCCCCAAGCAGGAGTTGCAATAGAAGCAGAGACTGGGGGTGGGTAAAATGCATAGTTTACTCCAGCCCATGTCTTTGAGAATGAAACATGGAAACAGATATCATAAGATCCTCGGAGGGAGAAATGCAAAACATGTTGTTGTTGAGGCCTTCAGCAGAACCCATGTGTGCTCACTATTCTTTGTAAAGCAGCTGGACAAGGAAAAACAACCCAAAGCAGGGATGCTCCTGCAATAAACGTCCCGTTGAAGAAGAGGAAAGATTGAGGAGCTCAGTGGGACACGGGTTGGATGTCACAGGCAGGAAAACATGCAGCTTTGGCAGGTCTAGAGGTCACTCTGCTGCCGGCTGTCACCCAAGCAGAGCAGGAAGAACCACACGTGCACGGACACAGAGTGCTTGTGAAATATTTATCCAGTGTAACGCGTACTTGCAGCACTGTCAGTGACACTAGCATTGCCCAGCACCAAGCTGGGGTCTGTTCCTTCCAGCCAGAGCAAGGATTCACACGTACTTTACAGTGTGGTGCTGTTTAGATATGTACAGACACGATCAGGGCCTTGTGTTATGGGCTAGAAAGATCCATAGAAAGACACAGGACAGGCTTATAATTTGAGCTACTGATGACACAGAACACACCTTTCTCACAACCCTGCGGAACGCTGCCATAAGATACTAGTCCTACAAGACTGAAAGGGGAGGCATGGGAAGAGCAGGCTGTTGGGCTCCTTGTCAGCTCTGCTTCTGCCTGCCTCATCTCTTCATTCCATGCCATGGAATAACATTTCCTTTGGTTAAACCACAATACATCTCAGCTGCTCTCACTCCCTTGGCAGTGAAGGCACCTTTTCTGGTCTTCTACCTGCATCCTTTTCCCTAGCCCAGATACACCTTCAGATGACTAAACCTTCACCATCCTCACCAGAAGTGTCCGTAAACCCTGTTTTGACATTGCAGGAGGTTGGAAAAGACAAGCTGGACTGCTCCCGTGACAAACTCTGCACTGGGACGCCCCTCTGCCCACCCACACCACGTGCATTCATGCCCAGGTACGACTCGCTTCAGTGACCGCAGTCTTTATGTGCAGCAGAAACGTGGCCGCAGAGGTGCTGCCCCAACTGCTGCTCATCTTCACATCCCAAACTAAGCTACCAGATTGCTATTCCAGTGGCTGAAAGAGGAGAGGGATAAAAGCTCGTGGAAAGAACTTACCCTGCGGCCTTTCATCCCTCTTATCCCTGGCGCACCACGGACTCCTGCCGGACCCTGGAGGGGGAAAAGGGAAACAAAGTGAAGATGAAGGAGGAGGAAGGCAGCAGCTGTTGGTAAGAGCCCACCTCCCTACGTGATCTGCGGGGGCCTCGGGCACGGATCCTTTACCAGCAGGTTGGTTCATTAAACTCTTGCCAAAGGCATTACCATATTTACTTGTTCATAAATGCTCTTTTTTTTTAACTCACTGATTGTCTTTGGGTTATGAACGTTTAGGCCAAGGATCCTGGCTGAGGTTTGTATGCTTAAATATCTGCAGCCTGTTGTCTGTGTAAGTGGTGTGATTTGAAGAGAAGTCGAACATCCAGAATTCCCTCCGAAGCTATTAAAAGCAGCTGTTGCTCAGTATCTGTACAAAAATAATAATAACCAGGATCTGTTTTTCAGTTGTCCAAATACAAAATCAGACACCTCATCTTAGGTATCCAAGTTTGACCTTTTCAGCCAATGCTGATTTTATCTCCAAGTAACTGCTGCCCTGTTAGTGCTGCGTAAATATTCATACTGGCAGATAGATGCTAATTTCATCTGGACTGTTGGAGTTGTCGATGATCCTGTTGTTCTTACACTTGGAGAAAGGTTTCAGGTTTTCTTTTAACCTGAATTAGTACACATTTGAGTCATTAATGTGCATACAGAAAACACAGAAGAAAATTAAACAGCTTTTTTTTTTCTGTTAGAATATTTTTGAGTTTCAAAAATTGAAGGATATGTTCAATTAACAGGACTTATTTCTGTATTATAACTTTAAAAACCCATATTTAAAGTTAATGCCTTTCTGCTGTCAGAAAAGAAAACCTCAAAATGACACGTTCCATTCTTACTCTCTCAAACATTCCACATCAAGTTTTGCTATTTATATATTAATAGCTTTTACCAACTGTCAACCCTGCAAACTCCACCAAGAATCAGAACTAAATTGGACTGTGATCTTCCTACTGCTTGTATCACTGCCACTAATAAAGATTCTGCTTTTGGAAGGGAGATATCTTTCTGCATTGCATGTAAGTTCAGAGTACAAATGCTTAGCTGTTCTCACTCAAGATGGAAAAGTTAGTTGACTGTAACTATATTTGTAATCACAGTAAATCTTGGTTTTGCTAGTGAGGTCAGTAGCGACTGGCACAGACAAGCAGTAGATGTGTCAGATGCCTGTTTTATAGAGATTTTAATGATAAACACATACTGAAGTGAAATTCTTTGTTGGCATTTGGAATATCCTCCTGGAAGTCCCAGCTTATCCCAAATAACTTATGAAAATACAAGCACAGAAACGTTCCTGGTGATGGCAAAACGTTGAGGGAGCAACTAGATACCATGCTGGGAACGCCAAGGAACTGGGTAGAAGATGAGTGACCTTTAATATACCTAGATGTACACATCATTTAAAAATTGTGTATTAACACGAAAGATGTACCATGATGGTAAGCAGGAAGAGAGAAAGGGAATTCACAAGCCTTGGTGAGCTGAAATTAAGGACAGAGTTTCCTACCATTGACTATACCTTTGCTCCCCATTCCCAGTCACCCTCTATTGAATTAATCAGCCGTCAGAGCTGCTGAGGCTCACTGAGTAGCTTAATCTCAAAGGTTTTAACAGTTTAGGACAAACAACAACAGCATGCCTCAGGTCTGGCTTGAAAAGCAAATAATGAATGTTTGGTGGAGAAACAGGCAGAAACAGCTGGAGTTAATGAGCGGGGATTTGATATTAGGGGATTATTTGATTTACTGGCTTTGTGGGGAAGTCTGACTTATTGAATTATGACTTTTTAAAATGCAGTCTTGGAGGAAACATTTTGCTTGGATGAATTTGTCAGTTATTTGCTTGCAGGAGAACAGGGAACTGAAGGAAGCAGAAGGACCTGGGGACAGCCTCAGCTTCCAGAGCTCTGCAGAGAGGTTTTGGCATCTCCAGACAGAGCTGATGCCTCTACTCATACTGTTGTCATACCCCAATGAAGTAAGACACAACTCAGCCTCATCTACAGGTTAGAGGAGCACTAGATAGTGCTTCAGGACTGTGAGATCTTTGCCACAGGGTCAGTGTAGAACCTCCCTCTGCCAAGGATGACCACCTGTCCTCCCCAGTGCCCTTGGCATGGAGCAAGCAGGGGGCCTGCTTAATGCTCCGGCCGTCCCCAAGTCATGCAGCAGCTAATATACTGGGAAAGCTGCTAAAAAAGTGACATCTAGAGATATCCAGCTGCCTCCTAGACTTCTGTCAACAGCAAGCACTGCCTCGAGGGACCACAGAGCAGGTCGCTGCTGGAGGCTGTGGGCACCATCATGCTCCTTTTATTGTAAGGGCCTGACCAGTGCCATGTTGCTGCTCCTCAGGTAGGGATGGGTCACCCTGAGGGGCTGCTTGACTTCAGACCTTTTCTTTCCCTCACCTCCATTGACTGGCAACTGTGAAAGCTCTCCCCAGCCAGCAGCTGGCTGCAGCCCGGAGCATCTCCGAGCTCCCCACTGTGGGCAGAGCTGCCGCTGATCTGGAGGCCAAACCTTTGGCACTGCCCGGGCATTTCACTACTGTGATCTTCCTCCCAATTAACAACACTGTGGGAATTCACCCACTGAGCAAAATCCATTCCCTGTACCCACCCAGAGCTGCCTTTCTGTTGGTTCCAGAGAACGACACGTGGTGGCATTTGTGCTGCTAGGAGAGCCAGAGCTCCGCCTGAACAGCGGCTGTGGGAAACTGGAGCCACACCAAAATCGACCTCCACACCGATTGCATGCTCTGGCCACAGCTGCAAGTGTACCAGACAAGCCTGACCAGATGGAGGGTGCATCTGGGGGCAGCTGCTCTGCTGCTCCTCTCGCTCCAGCGAGGGTCTCTGAAGTGCGTGGTGCAGTCGCTGCGTGATGCAGTCGCTGCGTGATGCAGTCGCTGCGTCACACGGTGTGATCACCGTACTGCCGACAGTTCCCAGCATAAACAGAGGCCCTTGCAATAACACCTTGAGCTAGTGAGCTTGTGTCCTGCTAGAAGACTGAGGCTGGATTGTGAGTTTTGGATCCCCTATTAGGGAAATGGGCTACAAAATTTTTAATTAAGCACCGCTATTTTTTTGTTTTTAGCATCTCTTTCCATGTGGTTCCCACCCATGCTCCATCCCTTTCCCCATATCTCTTGTTCATATCAAACTCAAATCAACTGGGACACCGTCACTTGATTCAGCCCATAAGCGCTCAGGATACGCGATGCTGATTTTGGTGTGTGGTGTTACGAAGTGATGGATAACCTTTACTTACTGTTGGTCCAGGGATCCCAGGAAAACCCACTCCTCCTGGTGTCCCGGGGTGCCCCTAAAAAGGAAGGAAGAAGAACACGCCTAGTGTGAATTCCTAGGATCTGCTCAGTCCTTCTTCCTCCAAGTGGGAAGACAGGAAAAAAAGGCATCACCGGTTGCTTGCAAGGTCAGGCAGGTCTGTTATTTGTCAGGGTAGAATTTCTCAGGGGCAGATGGAGACGGCCAGACCGTGAAAAGCCCAGCTCCATCCCTGCTAGCAATATAAGCAGCTAGATTTTCTGAACAGCCCAGAACAGAATGGGTTGAATTAATATGAAAATCTGTCTTTGGGTCTTGCGCTATGGTAGACAGGAGGTAAGTGTCAGAGCAAGACAAGATCTTGCTGAGATCCCCTCTGCTAAACTCCGAAACGAGGATCCCCGTCGGCAGCGCACACAGCACAGCAAAACACCGTGACCCTGCTGCCCAAGCAGCCCCGCGTCTCCAGCTGCCCCTGGCGACTCGCTGAGATGTGAACAGCAGATCCCTGCTCCCGGACCCTGTCCGTTCAGTAGCCAGGGTGCTTGGAAACAAGTCAATCCTTCAGGTGCAGCAGCGTGCAGTGCCTAGTTATCCCTACTTGACGCAACAGGTCCTCAGCTGATGGAGCTGCAGAACACGTGTCGAAACCTGGCGTTTCTCCGAAGGGGAGATTGCTGAAGATGAGTGCTGGGGAGAAGTTACACCTCAATATCCAGACAGTCAAACGGCCGTTCTCATGCCCACGGAACAAGGAAGAAGTTGCAGCTATTCTCATGTAATCAAAAGACCAGGAGAAGCTGCACCCTTCACTGGGACACAGAGAGAGAGGCAGCAGCAAGAGCGAGAGAATGCAGACTTACTCCTTACCATCGACCCCTTGACTCCTGGAGGGCCTGGGGGTCCCACTGAGCCACGGTCACCCTAGGAGAGACACAGGTGCATGGGGAAGAGTGAGGACTTTTGCTAAGAAGCACTCTGAGCTGGCAGCAACGAGGACCTAGAGCAACAAAACAACTAAAAGAACCAGCAATTGCAGTCTATGCCATCAGATTTCTACCAGAAAGGCTTCCAAGTACAGAATAATCATCACCCTCTTTCAAGCATCCATCTCATCAGAGATGGATTACAGCAAGAATTAGCTAATCCTCCATGTTGCAAGAGAGACTTGGCTATTGCCATCAAACCACTGAGGAACAAGAAACAAGCAATGCACTCAAGACCACCTTCAACTCCAGACAGTGCTAGGACTGGATCCCAGAAGATCTCTAGCCCTTTCCACCCAAGGCATGACATCCCTCTCTGTTCCACAGTATCATAATCCCTACA